GTTCTTTGCTTTTCTTCCAAAGAAACAAGCGTAAAACTTCATCTCGTCGACAGAAGAGTAAGCAAGATAATTGATTTAATCGAGACATTGCGGAAAATGGTAAAACGATATCGGCTTAAAACTTACGAACTTTTAACAATCCTACCCTTTTCTGTCGGTTACGACCTCGGCGCCGGATGGTTAAAAAACGGCTTCTGAGGTTGTCCCGACGGCGCCGAAGGGTACGACACCTGGGTGCCCGGGGGCGGGGGCGGCGGCGGCGGCGGCGGTGGCGGCGTCGCCGACGGGAACTTCGAGATCGGCACCGCCGTTCCCGTGGCCGCAGGCGGCGGCAGCGGCGGTGGCGGGACGAATTGCGGTGGATACGGATTGGAACCCGGTGGCGCTTGGGATGCCTGGGGTACTAAGAACGGCGTCTGCTGCGTCTGCTTGCCAACCGCGATCGCTTGCGACGGCGCGGCGGTGCTGAGCATCGGTTGCTGGGACGTGGTCGGCGGTGGTACCGCGAAGTTGGGATACTGCACCGTACCAGGCTTGCTCTGGAACTGGGGATAATGGATGGACGCCGAGCCGGGTGGCGGTATATATGGCTGCGGAGGTAACTGCGGCACTCCCGGATATCCCGGCGGGGTGCCGACTATCAAGTTTTGAGGCGGAGATTTGCGTGCCTTTAGTATCGCCTCGGCTGTCAAACCTGTAACCAAGAAAATAAGGATAACGTACGAGGTAAAACTAGCATCTTACGATAGCGTTGTCATCACTCTTCAAATCTAATGTATTGTCTACATTTCTTCAGCTTTCCAAAAGATTAATTTTATCTTCTCCAAGACTATATTCTTTCCCTTGCACGCATTTCTTTAAGATATGTACCATGCTTGCGAGCTCTCTCCTCCTCGTCATCGCTGAGGAACAGTCCGAATTCGCGTTTCAATCGCTCGGTGAGATTTTCTCGTTGACGTTCTACCAAAGTTGGCGCCGCAGACCAACCGATTGCACCTTCCTCTCCCCCTAATTTAAATATTAACTCATTAATCGCCGTATTATTTAAAAGCGTCATTAAAATTATCACAATACAATCATTGTCTTTATTAGATAAATTTACACAAAATACAAATATTTGGAGAGTAGGCTGTTACCTTTCTTTTCATCGTTCTCATTAGCGGCATTGGGGAAGAGCGTTAACGTGTTAAGACCCGTCAACTCGAGCGAAAGCGACGCTTTAGAACCCTCCTCGTCGGAACTGAGCGAAGAGGTGCCGCTGCTGGCGCTGTCCGATCTACCTCGCGCTCCACTTTTGTCCGTGTTAGAAGTGTCGTTGGACGATTCCGGCTCGGTTCCAGTTCCTCCGGATGACTGTTGCTTCCGTTTGCGATACTCCGATATAGACAACTAGAAAAATACATAAATATTTCCATA